CTAACTGTCAGGGGAAAATGATCCATATGGGGGATAATACTGACTTCTTGTGCATTGGCGACTTTAATACGCCTACTATAAACTGGACTAAATGTACTACAAGCTCATATATGTGTCCAGACCCTATATCTGTGGGAGTTAAATCTGAGCTTCTCTTGGAGACTCTGGATATCTGTAACCTCAAACAGTTCAATAACATCTCTAATAAAAATTACCGTTACTTAGACTTAGTTTTATACACATCTAATTCTTTAAGCATTCATGAGGCACACTCATTGAGTCGCATTGATGACCATCATCCACCTTTGCTTATAGATATTACTTGCCAAATTTCTACTTCTAATGTGATCTCGCGAGCCCGCAGTAAGAGACCTAATTTCTACAAATGCAATCTTGTTAATATTCGTGATGAACTGAACTCTGTAAACTGGAATGAGTACTTGGCTTGTGCAAATATTGATGACTGTCAGTAAGTTCTACGAGATATTGAATCAAATCATTTATAAACATACACCCTTAGCGAGTAATAGATCCAATAAATTTCCTTTCTGGTTTAGTCCTGCACTGATTCGTTGTATGAATGAAAAACTTAAGTATCACAGGCGGTACAAAATATGGTAACCCTCGTGATTATGACTCTTTGACTTGCTTCGTGCTCGTTGTAAGTTACTTTTGAACAAATGTTATAGGTCCTATCTCGAGTCTGTTGAAAGTTCTGTCAAACTTAATGTTAAAAACTTCTTTAGATATGTAAACGACAAAAGAAAATCCACTGGCATACCCCGAACCATGACACACGGTGACGTCACATCTTCAAATGTGGAGGAGATATGTGAAATGTTTTCGAAATACTTTAGTTCCGTCTATGAAAAAAATAATTGCTATCTCTACTCGCCTAACAAAACAGTTAATCGTGGTTTGTTTTTGTCAGACGCAAGGATAAACTATGATAGCATTAAAGCAGAAATACGGTCTCTTGATATTGGTAAAGGAGCTGGCCCAGATCAAATCCCTCCTCACTTTATAAAGAGCTGCTGCGATGAGCTTAGCGTTCCTCTGTTCATACTTTTTAATAAGTCATTAGAGTGTGGTATTTTTCCTAGTCTTTGGAAGACTGCATATGTTATTCCCATATATAAATCTGGTGACAGAGAGCAAATCAGCAACTACAGACCTATCAGTATTTTGTCTTGTTTTGCCAAGCTATTTGAATCTCTAATATATGAGACACTTTACTCACATTTCAAGCCATTTTTATCACCTCATCAGCATGGTTTCCTGGTTAATAGATCAACAGTAAGCAATCTCTTAGAATATAAATCTTATTTGTGTTCTGCTTTTGCCAAAAGGTGTTACAAAGTTTTATATAAAACAACAACAATAATTAGTCAACCTCATCAGAACTTTCTAAATTTTGACCTCGGCCACTACAACAGGGCACTCCTAGGTCGTCCGCATTCCTTAGACCTCGGCCCATACCAGGCACTCCTAGGTCATCCGCATTGCGTAGACCTCGGCCCATACCAAGCACTCTTAGGTCATCCGCATTCCTTAGACCTCGGCCCATACCAGGCACTCCTAGGTCTTCCGCATTGCGTAGACCTCGGCTCATACCAGGCACTCCTAGGCCTTCCGCATTGCGCAGACCTCGGCCCATACCAGGCACTCCTAGGCCTTCCGCATTGCGCAGACCTCGGCCCATACCAGGCACTCCTAGGTCGTCCGCATTAATATAATAATAATAATATAATAAATTTATTTATTTCTTCTTACAACAATTGTGGCACATAAAATACAGGTTAAGCAACACTTAAGAAATATTATTGGGCGTTGTAAGAAGCTGGTGTCCGAAACCGGCGTTAACCTGTACTACGGATCACCAGGTCCTTACCCCTGTAAAATAATCTATACATAACAATGTTCTTCATAACCATATTGAACCTGTATATACATAATATATAATCATGGAAAATACAAAAACAAAAAATTAAAGGTTGAGAGATAAACATTATAAGCAAAAATTTGATCACTTAACAGAATTTATTTTAGATGGCTAAGTAGATTTTCTGTGTCTGAATAGCTTAATGCCTGAACTCAGTCTTTTACAATTTTTTTACAATCTCCTACTGTTAACGGATATAACATTAGTTCTTTATTAACTTTATTGTACAAATTAATACCTTGATAACAAAAAAAACATTACGTAGACCTCGGCCCATACCAGGCACTCCTAGGTCATCCGCATTACGTAGACCTCGGCCTATACCAGGCACTCCTAGGTCGTCCGCATTACGTAGACCTCGGCCCATACCAGGCACTCCTAGGTCATTAAATGATTCAAACGTCTGTCCACCTTCACAGCCGTTTCTATTGTATTCCTCCATATCTGAAACGGACATTATTTCGCGTACATAAAAAATAAAAGTCATTTTTCGTAGAGTACGAAGGGACAACTGACCACATTCAATCTGGATGAAATTAGAACAGCCTTATATAATGAAAACGCTTAGAAGATAAGGTAACATGTAGACGAGTAAAAATAACATCTGAGCACATAGGGTAGTCCCCAGTCAGATGAAAAAAAATATTAAGTGCCCTTTTACAAAATTGCGCCACTGCCGTACTGATCGGCGCGTAGGTAGATTTGCACTAGTATATATTGCATTTCACGGGAGATGTTTCGAGTCTTATAAAGTAATTAGTAATGAACTAATTATAAAAAAATATAGATATTTCAGTAGTTCAATGATGGTAGATTAGTTTTATGAAAGTTTTTGATAGTAATTCTATTATAATTCAATATCATTTTAACAACAATATCAAATGCCTTATTATCAAATCATTTATAAAAATTACTTAAAAACATATATAAATTTAATAGTGCATAAGATGTATTTATATATGCGTATATCATAAAATATGGCGTCCTTTCTCTCCACTGCTAGCTCAGCCGTCATATAAAAACTTAACATCATTCTGAAGGCAATTTGTATCGGCTATTGATAGCAAAGGATTTCGATACGTAATATAGACTTGACTTCTCTTACAGAAAACGGACTACCCACATTTTACAGATGTTTGCACAACAAATATTTATATGCATTGTTTGAACTAAGTCATCAATTTGTAAATTATTAACAGTTATAGTAAAAAAAACATTTTTCAATAGTGATTTGTGATAAGTGTGTGCATGTCCAACTAAATACACACGTACTGGATTATTCTTTTGTTTTCTCATGTAAGTGAATTTTGTGTTCTGTTTTGAGAAATAAATGTTTTAAACCAGAAACCATAATGATATGGAAAATCAAAATTCTCATACATTATGTTACAACAAAAACATATTTCTGATGTCGTAGTAATTAATTTGATCAATTTTTTTTGAGATATTGGGGCGTTTGAAGTTGTGCATATTATCGTTTTTGCCGTAAACTAGCTGCAGTAGAACGATCAGTACAAAAAAAAGAAAATATTATTTTCAAATAGTCTACATTAACTTACAATAGGAAGAATAAATCTACTGTTTACTTCTATTGGAAATAGTCAAAATCTCTCTAAGGGGGTAAACGAGGCGCTCGAGGCGAGTTTTTTGCAAAAAATGTGAAAGGACTCTTATGCAAAACCGAGTTGCATTGATTACATACTTTATAGAGAAGTGCTATATCATATCTCAGTGTTCAATTACACAATGGCCACATTAATGCAAACTCAGTGTAGCCCACGAAGTATTCAAGAAGAAAATATATATATATATATAATCACATTTACACACCCTTTGAGAGTAGTCCCAGTATGGTGTGGCATTTGGACAACAATTACACGTACCCCAGGCAATAGCCTCTGGAGGTTACTATTAATTAATGCAAAAGTATTCAAGAGAAACAATAAGATTATAACTTCATTTACACACTCCCAGAGAGTAGCCCCAGTAAGGTGTGCATTTTTACAGCAACTACACGTAACCCCAGGGAGTAGCCCTAGCAGGATACATGCAGAAGCATTATTGGGACGTGTATGATCATGTAAAATAATAATAATAAAAAAAAATGTAACGTTCTTGAAACTTTAAATATATTAGGTCAAATAAAACAAGAGTTATGAAATTAGCACTTATGAATGAGAAAAAAATAAATAAAAAATAACTTGCGTTTTTTTTTCTGGGCGTAGTGAGAATATCAGGATATTCTCAGTCGATCCCGCTTCTGAAACTATTAGATTAGTTTTCAGAAGTTAAACCACAATGTTAATTTTCCACTTGCTTTATTCAACTTGTACTTCACTTGTGATATAAACTAAAATTATTATAACAAGAATATTTAGCAGCAACACCACGTTAAATTTTGGACCACTATTCACGACGAAGGCTCTCGACTGAATACCGTATTTATGACCGCTCCACTCGTTAGTCCGTCCCCCCTTCACGTCACGTGATAAGATGGTGGGGAGGTAAAGTGATGTGGCGTGATTTAGCATAGACAAACTAAGATAAAAACAATAACTGTACTATTGACCGATCTGTAAAAAATACTAATATTATAAAAATGCTAACACATAGGTTTGCAGACCAGAGTGTAGTTGCGCAAAATGCTAACGCACTCCATGACTTTTGAAAAATCTCACGCCGTAAAACATTGTTGAATCTGACGTTATATTGTCAAACATTAAAGAATGTTCGCGAATGTAGATCCAAGTCGAGAGTGAGTCCCGGTCATAGGATTGTGCAAAAAGCCGGTTCATTAAAGCGGTGTGTTCTATTCGTGGTAACTGCAACAATGTCTTTGGGCTACAAGCTCTACAACATTACCCGGCGATTGGCTAGTTAGTCAATAGAATCAATTTATTACACTTAACTGCCACGCTTAGATTCGTTCTTTCAAGTTTTATCAAATGACGATGGTCTTTCTTAAAAGAAAGAGAAGAAGGCCATTTGACATTTAAGTCTTTGTCTTACACTTTTGGGTATTATTTTTAAATATTTTACTTGTAAAATTTACTTATAGCAAAATTCGCGAAGATCATTGAGCCGTTCGAATTGTACCCCCACATCGGCTTCCGCGCCGCAAACGGGAACCATGAGCGACGCCCAATCTCAAGGAGGTTCGGAAAAAAGCTCCGGTGAGTATGTATAAAAATTTTAATGCAGCTATAATTCAGAACGAGTGTTACTATTAATGGTAGCTCATCATAGAAAATATCCTTTCGCAAGTAAACAATAACATTTGTTAATTTACATTATTATGATTACTAAAGGTTTAATGCCAGTTTTGCCTAAGGTTGTTGTAGTAGTTTTAAGATGCAGTTTTCCAGTCCTGTTCATAGAAAGCGGTTGACTGACTTAGGTACCTATACCAAATGCTTGTTATACCAGATGAACTCTAGCTTTCTTATTCCTTATAAAATAACTACCTATGTAATAAATATTATTTGATGAACACGTTATTGATAGAAATATCCATTAAAGTGATAAAGATATGCATAATATCAACAAAATAATTTCTAGTTGGTTGCAAGTACCTACAAGGGATTATATAAAATGCTCTCATTTGTTACGAGCTTTGATTTTATGTAGCTACAGCATTCATGTAGGTAGGGCAGCTAAAAGTCTACTGAAGGCATGATAGATGAAAGACCTAAAAAATATCCATTTCACATTTGAATCGAATCGCGCTCCTATCTTAGGTCCACTTGCAGCAGTTAATCTCAATTTAAGTAAAACTAGATTTAGCCCATAATATAATCTCATATCTCAAGAGGAGCTAGATGGGAGCAAGTGGTTCGGCGTTCGGCTGCGATCGTTGAAGCTTAGCAACTTTCGCAGTGGTCGGATATTGGATGGATGACCAAAAATTTACTATCTCGAGTTCCTCCGTGCTACGGAAGGCACTTTAAGCAGTTGGTCCTGGCTGCATCTGCGTCCACCATTCCGCATTGGGCTCGCGTGGTGGATCATGGCCCAATCTCCCTATTCCATCCATAGGGAAGGCCTGCGCCCCAGCAGTGGTGTGGTGACATTAATCGGTTGATGATGATGATCTCAAAATGATATTGACGTTTTAAAAAAAATCTTTGGATTTAAGCTAGTTATGATTGAATCGAGATTAATGCCAGAATTTACCAGAATTTCTGAAAATGATACTTTTTTTTACTGCTTTAGCATTGTTTGTTCTGGACTGAGTTGCTTCACATCATACGTGAGAGTGAATGCGTGAGCAGAGATCCCTGCATGGTTAGTTTTGGTCACCACAAACTGTGATGAACATTAAAATCCTCCCAAAAACACCAATTCTGCATTTGGAAATTGCTCCTGCGCATCATCTGTTACCCGACTAAGACGTTTAAAAGGTCAAGTTGCCACAACGTCACCGGTATGGGATCTGTAGAGGCACACGTAGACTCTAGTCAAAGGACCAGAGTCCACGTTAACCCCTTACATGGAAAAGGAGGGATCTTCCGCCTGAACATACAGGCACACACCGGCTTTCGCTTTAAAAGACTCTTCAAGCACGTAGCCAGGATAATTTAGGGAGCCTGAGGAAGCGGGCTAAAGTATTTGTGTCTCCGTTCGAAACAACAATGCTAGCCGTGCTGTCTCAAGATGGTGGTGGATAGCGTTAAGGATTGAGCAGAGGCCGCGTATATTGCAGAACTCAACCTCATATAGCGCGGAAGGCGTAGGGGTGTGCACCGCTGTACGTCCGAACTTTGTTTTTGCGGCAAATTATTGCGGGGAAACAATCCCCGAGAGACTTACTAACGAGGAGATGCACCATTTGGCCGGATGGAAAGGCTCCGTAGCACCGGCAGTGGCCGCCGGACCCCACCAACTGACTGGACGATCCACCCCGAGATTATGCGTAGCATGATGGGGTAGCCTAGCGAACTGATTAGGAATGATCAGGCCCTCGACCGTGCCATGGACGGCTAGCGGGTCAGCCGTTTCTACGGAGGTCTCTGACCGGCGGGCCTCTGGACGAAGTCTGTCACGGCAACGCCCACTCGAGCTGCTTGTACGCTGGCTAACCCCAAAACCCGCTCAAGGAGCACTTCACGAGTTTTACACCAAGCACACGGTGGTAACTTACCAGGCGGGTGTTAAGCACCCTTTTTTTGTGTCTGGGAAATGCCTTGCGCATCCTACAACCACTGGGGGAGCGAGAAGAAAGTATGTGGGACTCCTCCCTGTTCATTTCAGCCAGCCCTGTGGCCGGATAAAATAAACAGGGCCCTACCTAACGCCGTGCCTCCAGTAGAGCGGATGGAAGCTCCGAGTTCCCTAAGTCGCTTCTTACGACACCCACGGGAAAATGAAATGGCAGTGAATGGTATTCTTTCTCCGTCACTGCACGGATACTTTATATTATAACTATATACATATATATACATAATTCTTTCTAGTTCATTTACAGGTATATTTTAATAATAATATTATTGAAATTGTTTTTCTATAATTTATGTTTCTCATACGATTTCTTATTTGCAAAATAACTCAAACCTTAAACTATTAATAAACATAAAAGCACCAGAGCGATCAACTGAATAACGTTATTTTGGAGAAATAGCCTTAATAATGCTACTCTGTTTATGATTGTCTACAGAAAAGGAGCCAGTGCTGCCGCAATGTGTTATCACAAAGATGTTGCGAAACCTCGCCACTAAAAAGAGGGAGTTTATCAAAATGCGAAAAAGTTTAATACAACAACAGGTGAGTTATTACAATTTATAGTCTAGAGCGTTATTAAGCTTGCTTGCTACACTTGAAATAAAAGAAGTACCTACAATAAGTAGCTACAAATTTTTACATTTATCTTTTTGCCAGAATAGAATTTTTTATTCCTACAAGATGCAAAAAAATCCCCCACCACATCTGATAGTTAGTATAATATGGTGGACTCCAGTAACGATGATAGCTGCAACTGTAGAAAAGTTTGTCACTTTAGCCATCCTCACCTTGCTGCCCTGAATCCAATCCACTAGTCCTTCAGTCTTTGTATTCTCTTCAGTCTTCAGTCTTTGTAGTCTATCCTCAAACAGAACATCACCAAAAGATTGTTATTTGCCTTGATGGTCTTCTGTAAAGTAGAATTGCTTTGCTATAAAACCTCTGTTACAGAATTCATTGCTGGAGCATTACGCGTCCTTGAGGGACTTGGAGACGCGGGCTGGAGCGACCAGCGAGGAGGCCCTGGGGGAAGTGCGAGTGGTGTCGGTGACGGGATGGCCTGCCCACGACCTTCTGCTGCTCGTGCGCGATGACCTCGCGATGCCGATGAACTGCGAGATAAGTGGACTCTTTGGTATGTTTGTAATCTCTTTGTTTTTTGTATAACGTGGAGAAAAAATGATTTATCACATGGACAGCATACCCTATTAGCGAGCAAACTTCTTGGGGTAGGCGATCTCGCAAGGTTCATTAAGGCTTCTGGCCAATCCTGCGCTTCTTTGGTGCTCAGCCATTCGACTATTCCCTGCCGGGTCGACTGTTGTCCAAGAGTTAGCCGGCCGCATACAGCGCCCTACTCAAGTAAACCAACACTCCAGTCAAACCTTAACTGTCGAATACCACGGGATCCTGGTAAAACATTGCATGTCATCCTCGAGCTAAGTTTGTAAATTAAGTGTTTTCTCTTCCTTTCGGCCAGCAAACAAAATTCTAATGATCTTTTAAATATATATAATCTACACGGTGAGAGCGTCAGATTACTCCTCAAGTTTTATATTAAACTCTTGTAATTTTGAAAATATAATCTGGTTATTAGGATATATATAAACATAGTTTCTCAATCAATGGAATTGCCGTTTCATCATCATCATCATCATCATCAGCCTATTAATGGCCCCACTGCTGAGGCACAGGAGATTGGGCCATGACCCACCACGCGGGCCCAGTGCGGGTTGGAGGGGCTCGAGATAGTAAATGTTTGGTCACCCATCCAATGACCAACCACTGCGAAAGTTGCTTAACTTCAACGATCGCAACCGAACGCGCTAACCACTTGCGCCATCGAGCTCCTCAATGCTGCCGTTTAAAAACATGAAAATTATGGCGTAAATCTCAATGAAGGCATGTAACACAATTGGATGCGGATATTTCAGGACGTTTAACATAACTTTGCGGTATAATACGAGAAAACAAATTCTGTTACACCAATTATTTCCTCTACATCTCCTAGCTGAATAACTATAGCTAATTGGTTAAATAGAATTTGCGTAAATAAATATTTACGTCATAAATCCCAGCTAGTTTTTTGTGTGTTCTAAGGTATGACAGTATGAGAATACTTCAACCACGTCAGCAAGTCACATCTTTCATAGGTTTTGTCTAAGTATTCTTTACCCAGCACGTGTGCCCCCTTACAACTTCTACTACTCCTCCTTTTTAATAATAGGTCCTCAGGTGTTACAGCAGCTGAGCGCCCAGTTGAACTCTATTCCGGACGAGGTTCTTAACACTGCTGCAGAGGTGATGGCGCGCCGCATTGATCTCCTAAACCTGTTGCGAGGCAAACATCGCGCCGATCGGGCGAACTACACCAATTCCACCACGGGAACGTACAAGGTAAATACAAGGCGATATTTTTGCGATAACATTTTTTGAAAATATTAATATATGCTATATTTAGCCGTATATCTATATATTAAAGATAAAGGCCCTGATTCATGTCATGAAATCTAAAACTAAGAAACATTAAATTAAATTCAACAACAGAATATCCATGTCATGCTCTATGCAGAATAAAAAGGAGAGACTTCAAATTTAGTTTTAAGTTAAGAAGATCATGTTGGCATCATCTTTTTCACTTAAAACTAATCTTTAGATATTGTTATCTATCCCACCCAATATGCTGTTTACCATTTCAGAACTTAGAATGGAAAACCAAAAATTCTGAATTTGATCATGAAACGGAAAGGTTACATCGAATGGTCGCCGGTCTCGTAGAAAACTTGAAAGCAAAAGTTAATTACTCAATGGATTTAGCAAAGTAAGCATAATATCACTAGAAAAGTTTTCAATATACATTAATAGACTAAGCAAAGTTTTATGTAAATTAAAAAATCCTTTTTTTAGGGTACCTTGGATAGATCGTGAAATGATGGTAAGAAAGATCGAACGTTTGCAAAAAGAGATAACTATATTGCAAAGTAAGATTGAAGAAATTACAAAAAAAACAGACGATGATAATAAAGCTGGTGACTCGCCGCATGACACTTCGCCCACGTATCAGGTATTTACCCAATAATTGGTATTACTTGATTCGTTAAGTAGCTACTAGTTTCTGATATTTTCACCCACATCAGTTAATAATTTAATAGAGCACTTTTCAAACTACGAGTAGGATGAAGCGCGATTTATTGAAATTATACATTATTCTAGCTAGAGGTTTCGGTTCCTTTTCAGACTCCCTTGTAACAAGACTGAGATATTCGTCATCTTTTAAAAGCTTTTATTTAACTTGCAATTTATGTATGTATGTAAGTATGTATGTTTGTTCGAGTGGAATTTTTTAACTCAATTTTGAAGCAGCTATCTTCATTCGATTGAGCTGAAATTTTGTACGCACGTTAAGTTTGGATGACAATGCATGGTTATGTGTGTGACTTATTTATTATTTAAATCCAATTTAAATTTTACCAGATGACGGACTAGTTATTTTTGATGCACTCCTACAATAGGGGTATCAAATGAAAGGGCTTGCTAAGAATAACTCGAAAAATACAGTGACGTCACCTTAAATCTAATATTTAATTAATTATACTTCAAATAAAAACTGAAAAGAAAAAAACAAGTCCAGTAGTCTATAATTCTGTTAATAAGGAACAAAGCTACTTTAACAGTCGGGACCCATTAGATATTCAAGAATACATAATATTTTCAACAGTGGGTCCCGACTGTTAAAGTAGCTTTGTTCCTTATTAACAGAATTATAGACTACTGGACTTGTTTTTTTCTTTTCAGTTTTTATTTGAAGTATAATTAAGCAGTCGGGTTTTTTGATTTTTTAAATTTACCTTTTTTATTTCACACTTTTTAGTTAGTTAGTATTTTAAGACTGTATATACCGTAGTCTTGTTACTTCAGTAAGGGAATTAATATCGCGGGAATTATTAAGTACCTTGCGTCGGTCTAAAAGATTGATTTATTAAGACATATAAAGACTTTACCAGCGGGGTCAAGGCTACAGATGCACCTCAATTTTCGCAAAAATGTGTGAATTAAATCAAGTTGTTACATAAATATCTCTAATGTATGTAAATTTTATAGTAAACTAGCACTTATTCAAAAAGTCATCTTTTGTTTATATATATATTTTTTAATAGTTTAGCAGTAAATATAAAATTCATTTACTTTTATTCGTCGACTATTTAAAATTGGCAGTGGCTGCATTGTCATGTCAATGCCAGACGTCTAAGATTGTGATATACACAAATTCAGTGTCAGTACCTAGTCTCATAATTTGATATACCTACATAATTCACAGAAACCCAATATGTAGATGCCAGAAGTTAACTTCAAATGTTTTTAAGCATCCTATATACAATACCAATCAATGACGTTTATGTCGCAGGTTGAAGAAAACAGTAATTCCCGTCTGTTGTTTTGGACAATGGTGGCAACTGCCTTAGATCACTAAATTAAATAATTATGCAATCACCAAAGCAAAGTTTATAATATTTTATTAAAATAAAGGCGCATAATAAAATTTTCATAACATTAGGTAGAGCACCATAGCAATCTCATTTATTATCAATTTATAGTTCTCTTTGTAGTTTTCTTTTAAAGCGTTCACATTTAACAGGTCAAAGACTTTGTGTTCGACCCTTTTTTATTGGTAGTGTAAAGCTCGAATGAAGAGTACTCCCAGTAGTGCAATCATGGCAATTATTTTCCATTTTTTTTTTAAATACCGAATGACGTATCACTGTTAAGCACAAATGCTAAGTAACTTTTACAAATATAATCAAATAAACGTTTTACTTACTTTATTTTTAAATCTTTTTCATCAATTAAATACTTATCTTATTCTAACTATCTATAATAATATTATAAAGAGGCAAGATTTGTATGTTTGTAACAAATAATCTGTCAAACTACTAAACCGGTTTCAAATATTAATTCAACATAAGGTAGCTACATTATTTATTATAACATTTTTCTTTATTTAAATACATTTTGTCCGAGTTACATAGGCTATATTTTATCCCGATAAATAAATTTCGCCCGTACAATGCCCGGGAGGATCACTAATAAGTATAATATAATATTATAGATGCGAAAGTGAGTTTGTTTGTTGGGCTTCCGTGCCCTAATAACTAAACCGAATATAATGAATTCCCATATAGAAGTAGATGGGAACTTGGTTCTTAGCTACAACATCGCAATACTTATAGGCGTACGGTGTTGAAAGGGGTGATTTACCTAAAAAAAATCAGAACTAGAACTAGCTACATTAGAGCAGAATTATTACAAAACCAATATTATCGCGAGCTGATTAATAAATACAGGGATTCCAAAAAGTATGTACTTACTAGCGAAAAATGGGTTATTTGTCATTATATTGAGTAAACTTTTTTTTAACATTAAGTAATATTGTTAAAAAAATTAAAAACAGTAAAATTCTGAGTTTTTCATTAAAATTCAATAATCATAAATACCTATTATGATAATATATTTTTCATCATTTAATAAGAAGGAACTGTATCACAGTTTTATTGTTAGTACTTCGTATAGGATCAGATACTGCGAATACCCCATTTTTTTTCTTTTACATAGTACACCGCGCTATCGCTTTGTCATCGTTGTAACTTTTTAAATATTTGTCGAAATGACATAGTGTAAAAAGCAAAGTTTATCGTCTTTAACTATCAAAAGCGATAAAAGTATTTGTTTTGATAAAAAATGATTTGTTAATACAAAATGTGCATTTTGGAAATAGATATCAAATAATATTTTAGTTTTGATTCACTATTTTAGCGGTAATGACTTACATATTAAAAATAGATATATGGTGTCACGGACTTTTTTTTAGAACTATTTAAGGGATACATTTTCACTCTATATTACATTCATGTAACTTTTATTGTTTTTACAGTGCAGGCCAAAATGGCTCGCAGATGGGAGATTTTTTTTCCGTCTTATGTGACACTTATTGTTATATATTGGCCAATTCACTCAATAACTACATAAATTATTATATATATGTAATTATCATATATGAGCTATATTACTGTTAAGTTTCATTAAAATCCATTCAGTATTTTTTAGGTGAAAGAGCAACAAAGATCCATACAAATGTAAGATTGAAATTAAAAGCGTAAGTGGTTAATATACAACTTTAAAGCGTTGTAGATCCTAAACAGTCATATTAAATGAAAAATGGTGTTAGGAACCTAAATATGATTTTTGATTATCTAGACAGTGATACCCTACTCGACATATTTTGTCAACTTATTTTTTTTACTTCGTCACAATATGGCGCCTAATTTTGCCCATATTGAATTTTGATTACTATCATATCTTTAGTAGCACTCCCATGATTGAGACAAATCGATTGATGTATGAATCGTCAAAATCGGTCCAGGCGTTTGGTCTCTAGTGTGCCACAAAGGAACAAACATACATATATAGACTGTTAAACACATAACCCTGTCTGCGCGTCGCGCTTCGCGCTCTTGCATTGCGCAGCCGGGTAATAACCCTGTCTGCGCGTCGCGCTTCGCGCTCTTGCATTGCGCAGCCGGGTAAAAAATAAATATAAAGTAAAAAAACTTTTTTAAATTAAGCTTTAAATTAGATGCGCTTAAATAAATATAATATCATTTTCCTTTAAAAAAAATACGAACTTATAACGATTCTATGAATTTACAACGTCATTACACAATTTGTATAATAAAAAAGCTTTTTGCCAGTTTTAAATAGGTTCTGGTAGATACATATACATTATCACTGATTAATATAGGCTATAGTGTATTTTCAAAAAAGTTAGGTTTCCGTATGAAAACTTCGATAATGTAACCCAAAATCAAAAAATAGCCTTATATCGCGACGAAGTCATTGACAATAGAGCAAAGTGATGAACTAAAGTTTTATAGAGGATACCAGTATCTACAAAAAAGTCCGCGATATCATATGTCTATTACAGTTATGTCTCAGAATATATACACTATGTTACAACGAGAGGTCCCCTGCGGTTTCACCCGCGTTAATTTGAAGAAAAAGGTTAATAGTGAGTCAAACTTAAAATATGTACATAGGCTGTCGTGGACTTTTTTACAGAACTTTTAAAGGGGAAAAATTCCGTCATACATGATTTTTGTGTAATTTTAACCGTTTACCTACAGCAAGCAACGGAATCTCTCAAATGGAATATTAATACCGTTTTTGCAACATTTTTCATCGGTTTCCGCTGCTACTGTTCGTAGCCTGGTTTTGAATTTTTTGAATTTTGAAATTTCTTTATTTGTATAATAAAAAACATAATGTATATACAGTTACATTATAACATGATAGTAATCGATATTAATAGACTATGCAAGGCGCCTTTTTATATCATTCAAACATCGAAAATACACTGTGAAAATCATACTAAAATTTACTAATTTAATAGGGAACATGTATGTACATTATTATTTCACTTTGCGGCGCGAAATAAATACAATATTTAGCAAAAGAATGTTACATAACAACAATAATAGCAGAGTGTCAATGAGGGTATTTATATGTCCCTCTAATAAACTTGAAAGTAGAACTAACAAGCCATTGCTGCAGCTATGAATACAAACGGAACAAACTCAAGATACCCACGATAGGATTGAAGCTACCGTCGAATAGTCAGTACGGTAGGGTAATTACGTTATTCGAACTAGTTGAGGAAATAGTGATGAGGCAAACGATATCGAGAATAAGTTTTAGCATAATGCAAAGTGCACAGTCCCGATTTACCAATGTTTGAAATTAACTTGTTTATATGATTTGGGTTATTATAAATATAGAACTTTTTTGATGCTTTTAGAATATAACTTTTAATTTGAGGGAAACCAATGTTTTCGTGAAGTTTGGTTAAGTTTGTACGAAAACTGGTATTATAAGCAATTTTAATTGCTTTGTTTTGAATTACTTGGAGCTTCCAATAGTTTGCATTACAGGTACTTGACCAGACAGGGGCAGCATAAGTGATACAGGGTCGGACTAATGTGGAGTATATGCGTAGTTTAGTATCGGGGCTAA